TTACTATAAATGTACAGAATTTTTTCATTTTTTTTTTTTTTTTGGGTTTCTGTTTTATTTATTTTAGGAGTGGAAGATGTTATGACGGATTATAGAAATAGTAGGGTGGTTGTGAAAGGTGAAAAGGCCGATCCAATTAAGGTTCTTGAGAGGGTTCAGAGGAAGAGCCACAGGCAAGTGGATCTTCTCTTTCCAATACCGCCACCGCCACCGCCACCGCCACCGCCGGTGGCTGAAGAGCCAAAGAAACCTGAAGAAAATAAGGAAGTCAAAAGTGAAGAGAAAATAGAGGTCTGGTTATTTTTTCATCATGTTTCTATTTATTTCACCATTAATTTTCACTAATTTTGCTTTAATTTGCGTATTCTCTTTTGTTACAGCCTCCCGTTATTTCAGTTGTGTTAAGAGTCTACATGCATTGTGAGGCTTGTGCTCAAGAAATCAGAAAGCGGATTCAGAGAATGAAAGGTGAATTTTTTTCTTTAATTCTTCAGAAAAAAATGGCATTTTTTAACGATCATGCTTAAAATCGATTTTATAGGGTATGAACTGATAATCAAGAATTTGAATGTAGGAGTGGAAAGTGCAGAGCCAAACCTAAAGCACTCAGAAGTGACAGTAAAAGGGGCTATTGAACCGGAGAAGCTCGTCGATTACGTATACAAGAGGACCGGAAAACACGCTGCGATCGTGAAGGTTGAGCTGGAGAAAAAAGAGGAGGAAAAAGGGAAAGACGATAAAGAAGAGAAGAAACCGGCCGAGGAAGGCGAAGAAGGTGGCAAAGAGAACAAAGAAGAGGGCGGAGGCGGTGACGAACCACCAGTCAAACAAGATGCAGAAGTTGAGGATCCCAAAATGGACTTGAAAAAGAATGAGTTCTACCAATACTACCCTCAGAACTATCCAGTTTATCCACAGAGGATTGTTCAAGACATGTATTCATATCCTCCACAGATCTTCAGTGATGAGAATCCAAATGCATGTTCTATTATGTAAATGTTGGAGAAGGTGAGGGGTAAAATAGGGAATACATGTGGTGGGGGTAACTGTCCTATGGCCATTTCTCTCTAGACATCTCGTTGTTCTCTTCATGTGGCGTTGTCTGGGGTCTCGCAATATAGCCATAAATCTACAGATAAGCTATGGAATTTTGCGATGCTTCCGCACCTTTTAGTTTTTGTTTATTGTAATATTTGTCACATATTATGAATAATAAATAATATTAGAATACTAACATATGGATCACATTATATTTTAAATGTTGAATTACTCTGTTTTAGTACTCTAGTATTCACCTCTTTTCCCCTTTCTTTGGAGGTATTCGTTTTCGATTTGACGATTTTTTCAGGACGATGTTATTGGTGCACAAGTATTTTAATATCCGAACAATGAAAGATACAACTTGTAATCTCAACAACTTCTAATTGATTTACACTTTCGGATTAGTGGAAATTGGAAAGGGAAAAAAATAGAGGAAATGTGTTTCTAAAATTTAGTCACTTTTACGTGCAACTAAATATGCTGAATCTTGGAAAAAGAGATAAAAAGATAAATTTGTGACAGTCTATTTACAAAATAATCGCTTATTTAATGATTATATGTGCCCCTGTTATTTGTGTTTTCATTTCAACTTATACTCGGTCACACGAAATTCGTTCTTATTCATGCAATTTTCGTTGTAACTCCTACTTGTGCATACAAATTTCATTTTAGGACCTTGCTGTTTGTACAGGGAAGGTTTGACACCCTCCTTGACAGAACAGACTCAAAGGGGGACGGGGAGCATTTTTTATCATTTTTTTTCACTCGAGTCCCACGCGGGTTCCACGCGAATGTGAGAATCTGTCAAGAATGTGGTAAATCATTTTTTTGGACAAATGGTATTTTTCATTCTAATTTATGCGGTTTACCCCGTTTTTTTTAAATAAATGAACGAAAAAGTAAGATTTCTTAGAATGAAATCCAAAAATTGCGCCCCCCGGGTCACATCCAAGTTGGCGGAACAATCATATTGGGGGGCTCTGGAACCAAGCGTGGGGAGTTCGTTTCCTGGTGGGAACCTTTGATCCAATAAAGGAGGAATTATTGGTGGATTAATCACTATGGAGGAAGGCTTTCTTTGGGAAAGGAGTAAAAGCCGTGTGGGAACTTGGGAACCAACAATGGCACATTCCGCGATTTACCTCCCTGAGCTGCTGAGAGGTCGGAGGTTCAGGGACGAGGATATAGTCTGGCGCAAGCTGTGACACCTCGTTAAAAAAAAAAAATCCAAAAATTGCCAAGGAATCTTACAGTACTTCAATTGAAAGATTTTCTGTTTTACTGTCACTTCAAAAGGTTCGCTGGTGACCCTTTATTTCCCAGGGCCCTAAATTTTCAACTCAGAGTCAGAGCTGATTATATTGTGGAATGAGTACTAAATTACGCTGTCGTAGCTAAAAATCAATTTTTTTTTTTTTTTGTAAATTTTATAAAAATTAATGAAACGTATAATTGAAAAATTGATAAATATTGTAGGTTTCACGAAATATATGATTAAATTTAATTTTTGACTTTGAATTAATTGTTTATCAAAATTTTAACCCACACCAAATAGGGGCTAACTAAAATAAATTAAATTTATCATTTTTTTATAGTTTAATTCTTAAAGGAAATGTTGGATATTGGTTAAATAAATCGAGAATTGAAAATCGATTAAAGTTCGTATCGACTTCGGCCAAATACTCAAAAGCTCGACTCAATCCGTTTAGGCAAAATTGTTTGCCACTTCGCAGCTTCGGGACGCACAAACGGGGGTCGAGGGGGCAGCGCCCCTCGTGGGGGGTCGGGGGCAACGCCCCCGAAAGAGAATTTTGATTTCTCTGCATGTATTGAAGGGTATATTTGTCATTTCGAAAATCAACATCGGATGAATGAAAATTACGAAAAAGACCTCAACCATTAGTGAATAGACACTTTTTCATAAAGGTGCATTGTTTGGAAATGGTGCATGGTTTGGCCTCAACCATTTCGTCCACACCCTTTCATGGTCTATAAATAGAACCCTTTGGGTGTCCTATTCCACACAGTTTGATATGCAAAAACGTCTCTCATCCTCTCTTCTATCCAAAATAAAAATCATTTCATTTATTTTGATTTTCTTTCATTTCATTCTTGGAGTACATAAGCCTACATTTGGTTCGTTGTACTTGTGTTTTGGAGTGCTACAAACACAAGTGTAGCCGTTGTATCTTGGGAGTCGATTGCCGAAATCCGTAGGCACCGTTGCGGGGCAAATTCGACTTAAGGACAAAGAGTCCAACTCTTGCCTCGGCTTTGTCACCATCATTATACTTATTTCGGCGCTACTATTCACAAAATTCTTCCAACAGGAAATTATTTAGCATGGTATTAGAGTAGCAAAAGTCTTGCTCAATTACTAGCTACATAATAATTATGTAACTCCAGATATTTCGAAATTGTTAGTCAATTCTATTTTCAACAAGAGTTTATTATAACTAGATACGATTTTGACCATTTTTTTCAAATCTATAATATACGAAAAAAAAATGTTCAACGTCAAGTCGTTCAAGAAGAGTGATGTAAAATAAATCATGAGAATGTGTTGCTTGAAATAAGGATTGGTACATCTTGATACATGATGCTACATTGAAATTCACAAAAAATGTGTCGTTTCAATAACCGTGAAAGCTGATGGCTATGTTTTACTCATGAGTTGTATACCATTTTAATTTGATTTCGTGGCTAGATCTTATGAGTATTGAACATTTTCAATGTGTTTATTAATATTTTGGCTATATCTTATGAGTATTGAACATTTTCAATGTGTCATAGATTTGGTGAGTTGGTGTTAATTAATGCAAAAAGAGTAGAAAAGGGTTAGGTCGTTTCAATATCTGTGAAAGCCGACGACTGTATTTTACTCACGAGTTGTATACTATTTTAATTTGATTTGTGGCTGGATCTTATGAGTATTGAACATTTTCAATGTGTTTATTAATATTGTGGCTAGATCTTATGAGTATTGAACATTTTCAATGTGTCATAGATTTGGTGAGGTGGTGTTAATTAATGCAAAAGGAGTAGAAAAGGGTTAGGTCCAAAGTTTGGGGACTAAAGCGTAAATGCTCAAAAGTTGTGTCAAACCTCACAATGAAGATTCAAGAATGCTAGGGGTCAATTGGATGTAATTAGAAGTCAAAAGGAGTAAAATATGACTAAAATATTTTCATTAATCAATTTTCAATCGCACAAGGATGTTTCAAATTTTTAGCCAGAAATTGAGACCCATTCGTAGACTAGAAAATGTTCGAATATGAAATTAGCTATTTTTAGTAAAATTGTAGCCCTTTGAGTTATTTTTACCATCCAATTTGAATCGCCACAATCGAATATTGGAAGAGAAAATTATGATAAAAATACTGAAAAATGTGCAATGCTAATTTTTACGTGAAAGCGGTGCCATCAAATTGCACAATATAGAGTTGTGGCACCGAGGCGCCAACTGCTTACCTAGTGTATGAATTTTGGCATTTTTAAAGCCCATAAAACTCTAGATTTGGGAAAAACATGGAAGCAACTATAAATATGAAAAAAATGAGGCATTTGAAAAGGGTTTCATACATTGAGAGATAATGACACAACTGGAGATTAAAGAGCTCAAATCAAAGGAGAAAAATATCAAGAAATTCAAAGTTTGATGTATTGATTGAAAGAGGAAGAAGATTAATTTCTTTTTCTACATCTTTATTCAAAATCAAGTGATGTATTCAATAACAATTTCTTGTTTTTATTTTTGCCTTATGAGTAGCTATATTTCATACTAGTTAAACAATGTAGTCTAATTGGAACCCTTTATTTCTTTTATTCAAGATTCTTGTTATTTTACCATATATGTGTTGATTTTATTATAAGTTTATTGCATTGAATTACTTAATTACTAATTTAATGATTTTGTGAATCTTTCACGAATCAAGAGGTGAGTTTGAAATTTATACCACTTAGCAAAATTCGGTAAATTAGTATAACGTGTAGATATACGTATACTAATTAATGCAATCATTATATAAATTCTTAAAACTAATATTTCGTTCAATTAAGGTTGGTTTGCATAGAGACACGAGATTGAATTAGGTAAATAAGCTCAATGAGAACTCGAGGAGGTAAATTCAATACAATAGAAAAGTTCGACCGAACACTATATTATATTTTTTAATCTTGAATTAAAATTTAAAGTTGATCAATAGATGAAATTGTCCTGCCCTAATACGAATTCTAAATCAACCTTTGTGTGCATTTTGTTATTTTCAAGTATTTAAATTAAAAAAAATACAACAAATCATAATCTTTGTTTCTTTTCATCATAATGAAAAAGATTATGATTTGTTGTGAGTTTTTGATTTATATATATTGATCACTTTTAAGTTTTAATTCAAGATTAAAAAATCTAATATAGTTCCAGACCGGATGATTCTATTGTGTTCAATTTACCATTTTCGAGTTCTCATTAAATCTGTTTAACTAATTCAATCACATATCTCTATACGAATTAATGTTAGTTAAATGAAATATTAGTTCCAAGAATTCATATAACGATCGCAATAATTAGTATAGGTATCCATACATGTTATACTAATTTATTGAATTTTACTATGTGGTCTAAATCTCAAACTCACCTCTTGATTTGTAAAAAAAATCACAAAATCATTAAATTAGTGATCAAGTAATTCAACACATTAAACAAATAGTAAAATCAACACATATATGATAAAATAACAAGAATCTTTAAGAGAAAAATAAAGGGTCCCAAGTGTACTATATTATTTGCCCTAATATGAAATTTAGCTATTCATAATACAAAAATAGCAACAAGAAATTATTATTGAATACATCATCGACTTTTGAATAAAGATGTAGAAAATGAGATTAATTTTGAATCAAGATTTTCTTCCTTTTCCAATCAATACTTCAAACCTTGAATTTCTTAATATTTTTCTCCTTTGATTTGTGCTATTTAATCTCCAATTGTGTTTGTTATCTCTCAATGTGTAGAGCCTCTCTCAAGTGCCCCATTTTCTTGTATTTATAGTTATTTCCATGTTTTCCCCGAATTTAGAGTTTTTTTATGGACTTTAAAAAAACCAAAATCCATGCCCTAGGTAAGCAGATGACGTTGTTGTGCCACAACTCTGTATTGTGCAATTTGGTGGTGCCAATTTCAGGTAAAAATCAGAATTACATTTCCT